CTAGCTCTCGGTAGGGCTTCGATGACAGCACGTGGAGTCGTACAACCAATGTAAATATAGGATAACTAGCCAAATGGAAAATAATAGTTTTTTACGATTTAGGATATTTTCTTAATGAATGCTAACCATTCTATGAAATATGCTTATCTAGTTGTCAAGCTTTGTCAAAAATGAAACAGATGAAAAACATATGCAATATGTTGAATAGACTGTGTAAGATGTGACGAATCGTCACATCGCGCTGGCCTGTGGCAGAGGTAATATGCTGGTCGCATGGAACTCTGTGTAGGTGAGTGCCGGTTCGCCCTGATTGTTTCTAGGTTTTTCAGTACCATGCTGGTACTCGTGGGTTTCACCAAAGTGGTAAACGACTGAGACCTGCATCACTTCGGGCTTTCCTCCCACATAAAGCTGCCAAGCCGTGATATAGCTGGAATAATGATGAGAAGCGTTGACCCCATCCCATGATTACTCACTTACTCACTAAGATGTGTTGGATTTCCTCCAACACCAAGCCGTCAGGCGTATCATCATTAAACCCAACACACTCACTCAACGGGGGCACGGGTGGCCAAGTCGTCTAAGGCGCCGCGATTTGCTTTGCAGAGTTTCGTCCCTTGGGCACGCCAGAAACCTATGATTGTGGGTTCGAATCCCGGTTCGTCCCGATTATGTTTTTAGGTTTGTCAGCACCATACCCGTGCTCGTGACCTGCATCACTTCGGGCTTTCCTCCCACTTTAAGCTGACACGTCGAGATATAACTGGAATACTGTTAAAAGCGGCGTTAAACCCAACTCATTCACTCACTCACTCAGAGGCATAAGTGTACATGGGCTTACACTTCAGTCTTATTCATCATACTATTAGTCATATTTGATTATGAACCTGATATGCAAAGCAGTTTACTATCACATCAGGAATACAGGTTAAATATGCAGTTACATGCGTCAACCAGCTGTCATGCCATGTGTTTGACTACTGTAACAATCTCTGGAAGAAAACCTTACTTGACAAGATGCAGTGTGTACATAGTTCAACAGCAAACATGATTACCAACACACGGAAGTATGAACACAACACCCATGTACAAAACAACTAATCCGTGAAGATCCAGGGTAGAATAGATCTCCAGCAACCCATGCTTGCAGTAAAAGGCGAGGGTGATCAGGCTCGTTGACTTGCTTGATGCCTGTCATCATAGCCCAATTGCGTGGATCGATGATCATGATGTCAATCACTAGATTGTCAGGTTCAGACTCGATTATATATAGACCGGCGTCATATAGCCGAATGCGGCGTTAAACAACAGTCAAACAAACAAACAAAACTAAAACAACTTCATTGCAATCCACTTGATTCCATTTTTATATTTCAAGGCACTCAACGGTCAGTCCGCAGCATACATCGCTCCCTAGGGGCGGTCGGGTAGCCTAGTGGTTAAAGCGTTCGCTCGTCACGCCAAAGACGCGGGTGCGATTCCTGACATGGCAACAAAGTGTGAAGCCCATTTCTGGTGTCCCCCGCCGTGATATTGCTGGAATATTGCTAAAAGCGGCGTAAAACCATACTCGCTCATCGCTCCCTACCAGCAGTGTTCGAAATGAAACAAAATGCCAGGCTGCCACCAGGATCCGCAAACTTTAGAAGCTGAAGGCCCCGACTAAACTCTTCAGGCCCTCTTTTGTAAAACCAAATAATTGCAGTTTATTGTGAGTAATAAATCGACACGTAAATGTACTGTATGCCATAATTAAGGACCCATACGAGTTAGAAACAGCCATAACACAAAATCTACCTGCCGTGTTTCCACGGTCATGCACTTGTTTCGAACACACGCACACTATGACCCATGTCCAGTGCATGAAAATGGACCAGCCACTCGCTCATCTGCCTCCGGTGACAGTTTCTTCCAAATTTGGTGCTGAGATGTGGAACAAGTTAACAGCTCATCTCCAGAACACAATCAAGATCGCAATTTTCAAAGTTGAACTGAAAAACATTCATCTTCAAATGGTCATATGAGTGGCACAGTCGGGCTAGTTAGGCTCATCATCAGCACAAGACAGCGAATGGGATTTCTCCAAGGAAGCGCTGCCTAGTCGAACCCACCCAGAACTTTTCGGAGAATGTGAAGACTCCCCAACACTGCAGCCTTCTGCATTACCCAGATTGTCAGAAGGGCTGTACTCCTTGTAGCAAACCCGGGTTCTCTCCCAATGTCAGTCAACAGATTGGGAAGTACCAAACCTAAGGCACCGAGAACAGTCGCACAACTTGGTACTTGGGATGCAAGCGTGACATTTCGAAAGCGAGGTCCGCATATTTGCCATGATGTTTTTCCTGAATCTTGTCAAGCACATTAGTGTCAAAAGTGTTAAAGTTTAACGTCACATCGGCAGTATTTCAGCCATATCGTGACTAGTGTGCCGATGGAGCTGAGAAGGGGATTGGGGGTAAATGTGTCATTGAAGATCTGCCCTGGGGTGTGTAAAAGATATTGGGTTTACATCGTAGAAAAAAGATCGGACATGTTGGGTCAAGGATTCTTGCAATCCCCACGGTAGCAAGATCATTGTTTGTTTGGAACCTTGGTAAACAACATCCTGCATTTGAGACTGGGGATTCTGCAAGACAGTCTTAGGACATGAAAATGTAAAGCTATTTCTTGTACTTTTAATCTCCATTTCTCCTAGCACTTGGGTTAGGCTGATTATCCACCTTGGCGTTATATTTCAACAACGTAACAAATTTACTGCTGCTAAAAATAGCTTATGTGAACAAAACCGTAAGAGCCACATTTTGCGACATGGTCGGCACCATAACCTGTCACTTGAATGTCCTTTCTACTTGTTTGATTGTATGGTTATACATGTATCTATACTTATGAACGGTGGCAAAATGTCGGGATTTAAAAATATTTGGGTCTAGAGAAAATACATACAAGCTTCATTAAATATTTAGCTTCACCCACGGAAGGTACGCCAAACTATGATTTATGGGAAAGATGAAAGGAAACTCCTTAAATTGATGTGTAATAAAATTCTGTTCTTTTCTGACGTGGATGGATTTGTCAGCGCCAAACACGTCGACACTGGCAGGCCCGTCAGTTAGCAAAACCTTTTATTACAAGAGAAAAGCAACGAAAAGCTGCCAATCAGTGCTGTATATAGGAAGTAATTCTCACTTCTAAGAAACCGCGAATGTCCTTTTCTATTCTGTAATTTATGCCATAACCTGATATTCGTCGTTTAGGTTAACTACAAACAACGCATGCTACGTGTGGGCGATTCTCGCCTGACATTCAAAATCGGTGAGCTTTCTTGGATGCGAATGCGTCTAAAATAGGATGACTGGTGGCGAATCTACCGCTGTGTTGAATCTTGGCATCTCCACACTAGCTATGTACAATGTAGAGCTGGGGGAACAATAGCAAAAACAGCATCTTGTTCTTTAATGTTTGTCCAAGCTGACATTTCCCAAAAGCCGTCGGGAATATTTCTTTGTTGCCACAATCATTTTCCGCTTTTAAATAATTGACCGTGTCTTTCACAACTTATGAGACATAATTAATGAACCGACGTGTACTTAAGAATTGACCTTCACTTTGTGTGAGTTCATTGGAGTGTGAACCTTCATAGAGTGAGGGCAAAACTGTATGATTGGTCGGAGCTTATAAATTTTGTATCCCAATTTCTTACCTCAAAGGATGTAGGCCCAGATCTAAACACAATTTTATTTAGTACGTGTGACTTCATGTTTACACTGACAGCCATACAAGAACCAGCTATATCACTGAGTAAAATAGTTCCTCAAAAAGAGAGGTGACTTGGGCGTATGGATGCACAACTTGCTCTTCAGAAACATCTTACGCAGCACATGTGTTCTAATAATATCCTCATTAGATGAGAAAAGTCTGTAAAGAACTGTCTCAGTAAGTCAGTCACAATGAAAGCGCGTCGTAATATATTTACATCAAGTACAAGACGTCAAAATGGCCGACACGACGGGAGAGATTTCCGAAGTTGTTAATGAACCTGTGGCGGTTACATGACTGTGTTAATCATCATTGATCAACTGGCCGAAAGGGGAATAAAGATGCGTCAAACAGACACTAAGGTAAATTCAAAGATTGTTGGAGACGGTCAATGTCAGGCAAGGCACGGATCGAGTCGATACTACGATAGCTTAGATGTGCATTTCTTCGTTTGTTCATTGGGATAGGCCGCAGCGAAGATATTCGTGAACAATCATGCAGTAACGCTCTCTGACATTTCTCAGTGTAAACTGAAACGCTGACCAAGAATAAAGGTTCTAAATTATCAGAAAGAACGCTTATGTATGTTTTCGTGCTAGGGAATTACATACACTTATGAACGTCAATTTCGCTTTCATGTGACCGACCTCTCGTCCAATGGAAAAGCCGTATATCGTGTAAACTTCAAATTAAAAAATTATATGCATGTGTATAACTATATACTTATATATATATATCATCATGAAACAGTTATAACGATTAAGCATTTATGTTATGGGTAGTTTCTCTGAGCACATTCAGCATGATTAGATCGTTTGAGAAATTCCATAAAATTTATCAAAAATCAGCTTTTTGGAGGCACGTGCGGCCCAGTCGTCTAAGGCACCGCAATTCGCAGTGCGTCCCTTAGGCACGCCTGAAACCTATGATTGTGGGTTCGAATCCCGATTCGCCCCTGTATGTTTCTAAGTTTGTCAGCACCACAGCCGTGCTCTCGGGTTTCACGAAAGTGGTAAACATCTGAGACCTGTGTCACATCGGGCTTTCCCCCTGTAGTAGGATATAGTGATATAACTTGAATTCTGTTAAAAGCGGCGTTAAACCTAAATCACCAAGGTCATTTGCTCACTATCAGTCTCTGTACCGTTCAACTGATAAGATCTTATTCAATTAGTTATTTTGAACTATTTAGATATTTTTAACATGCATCACACACAATTCAATCATAACTAACAATTTGAGAGTGAAGCCGTCAAGTGCCTTTATTTTGCCAACGGATACAGAATGGAAAGCTACATGCGTGGCGTTGCGCTGTGTTACCTACAGTTGTGCTTCATCATATGCACGATGCAATGGCAAGGACTGGCAACTATGAGATGCTGAAGCATGTAGAATGAGTTCAAAATGCCAGTGTACACGTTATTTCTGCTTATTGATAACACACGTTGAACTGCCCCGAACAGCGATTTCCAACATAAGCATATCTTCCGATGAAGCCATAGGAGGCAGGGGTGCACTGACTCCATCTTGTTTGTTGCATGAGGGTGATGCTGCTGACTGCCCCTGGAAAGTTCACAGCAGGTCTCCCACTAGATCTGTCTAGCGTTACCTGGGAACACTTAGTTTGGATTTGCTGTCGATGCTGGCTCTGTTGGTTGTTGTTGTTGTTGTTGTAGGACTGAAAAGATGGCTGGCGATTCGTCCTAATAGTGGAAGCTTGTTGTTGATGGCCTTGCGCGTTCACCAAGCCTTGTTGAAAAGAACCGCCTTGGGTTTTCTGTAAGAAATTGTCCTGTGCGGGAACTGGAGACTTCGAAGGTTGTGAATTAGCACCATTATTTGTGTTCAAAGACTGAGAATTCTGGGGACGTTGGTAGGGCCCTCTGTTCTGATTATTCATATTATGTCCCCCGTTTTGTTGATAATTCCATGGTCGTTGTTGGGTATTCTGCCGGTATGCGTTTCCTCCGTACGCATTGGTATTTCCTCCGTACGCATTGGTGTTTCCTCCGTACGCATTGATATTTCCTCCGTACGCATTGGTATTTCCTCTATACGCATTGGTATTTCCTCCATACGCATTGGTGTTTCCTCCGTACGCTTTGGTGTTTCCTCCGTATGATTGGTAGTTGTTCTGATATGTGGGACGTTGTTGTGTGGCGTAGGAAGACCGAGTATTGTACTTGGCACCTGTCCCGCCGTATAGCCTCTGATACATCATGTACGTACGTCTGTCCTCCGCCATATCCTGCATAGTGTCCATGGCATCAGAGTCGTAACTCATGAACTGGCCTGAGGTGAAACCTTAAAGTCAAACAGAAGGGTTCATTAGAATCACGACCACGACGCCGAAAAAGGATTAGGAGAAAATCCTTATGTTTTAATATTTGTGGGCGTTAAATGTGTATTAAGTATTTAGTACGAATGAGCGAGTTGGGGTTTACGGCGCGTTTAGCAATATTCCAGCAATATTACAGAGGGGGACTCCTCACACACTGTATTGTTGAGAATTCAACTCGAGCAACTAGAATTCCAACCACTAGGCTTCCCCAAGGCCCCCCCCCCCCCCCCCCCCCCTCCCACCCTCCTCTCTCTCTTCTGCATGCGTTTAACATTTTTGTGACGTCATAGACACGCTCATTCTCCTGCTTACTTGCGAGCTAGACCACGACCCCCGTGTGTTCGGTTCCAAAATCATTTCAGCGCGGTAAATCTACAGGTAACCTGGCTCGACATTGAAAACACAGAATGATTATCACCTAACTATAAGACACTGTGAGGGGAAACGGTTATACTTTCTGTAATCAGTATACGGGCTTCATCTAATTAAAATTATACATTATGCGCACTTGACTTCTTCCTATCAACACTACTCAAAACAGGTTAAAGAACATTCACAATTGGAAGGCTGCGTTGGAATACCAACCAACCATGTCAGATCGACCATGACAGACAACAGTCATATAAAAAAGATTTTTCGTTAGCGCCACGAAGTACTGCAGCGATTGTCAATCAGCACTTTGGTCAGTGTGAGGAGAAACTGTTATCCTTGCTAACGAATGAAGAATCATTCTCCTGTTGGTGTGATGAGTATTGATTGGGAGATGTGTGCAAGACTGTGGAGTTCTCTTGTGGCAAGGTTGGTTGGGGTGAGGTGGATTTTCCGACAAGAATTTAGGCTGGTCTGGACCTGGGGAGGTGAGAGATATGGCTCTCAACGTATGATTGTGTATACATGCGACCCGTGATTACGCACAAATCTTCCATTTCCACCTCGACTGAAAATTGGATACCAAAACTTAATCCGTAATCTCAATGGTAATACGAAGCAACTGCAGGGTTTATAATATTGTTAATAATGCCGTTTTTATATGTGTAGTTTATATAATAAAGTATTTCCTTAACTCCCCCCCCCCCCTCTCTCTCACGTTCTCTTCTCTCGACTCTATATACGTTTTTAATCTGACTGCCAGTCTTCATCGGTCGGATCAGGGCTGACCCATTTTGACATTGCTTAATATATTTCTTAGCTAGTCAAACTTGCAAACTAAAGCAGGGGGTCGGGAGGCTGCGTTGGACGTGTTTGTGTAGATTGTTAGCCGTTCAATGAACTGTCTGGTCAGATTCAACTGATTACACAGAGAGAAATGTTTATTGTCTCACATTATAAAGGTTCAAAATCAAAGCTTGTACATCCAGCCATGTATTCTATGTAGAAAAGAAAAAGAAAGAAAAAAAGAAAAATGAAGAAACAAAAAGAAAAAGAATATGCAACAATAATAAAAATCATGTTTTACTACTTTAAATATAACAATAATAATATTAAAAATTAACCTTTATAGTTTTGTCTTCTTTAAAACATATAATATAGACATGTAGCTAAAATATGTTGCAGCGATTCCTCTTGCATAATAAAAATAAATTTATCTAAGCTACCTAGATTTTAAAAATCTCTATTAATTGCAATAACTTCTTGTGAAAGATCAAAAGGCAAATCATCATAAAAGTTACATTCGATTAATACAGCAGCATACAGCAGCATACCATTTATCGTTTTCGTCATCATCAGCAGTGAGAAATTCCGAACATGAGCAATGCATTGTTTTATAGTTAAACCCGATCTCAATAAGACGCCCACATTAAAATGAGTTAAAACCTTAAGAAATATTTTATCCCAGGACTGTAATTTCTCAGAGGACCATTTGTAAACAACATAGAGGATGCTTGGAGGAAGCATATTATGTAATCTAAAATAATTTCATACTTTGAAGTTACTTTCTTTCATGCTGATTGGCCGAAGGGGTAGTCACGTGATCTGATATTTGGAGTTCACACACCTGTGAACGGACAAAAAAAAGTTCACACGATGTGAACTATTTTTTGTGAAATTGATCGTGTGAACTTTTGCCAGAACTACTTTCCGGGGTTTCCCCGAATTCTCGTTCGGTGTTTACAATCAACTCGTTTTTCTTTGTTCTTTTTAATCCCTGCATTCATCAACAATATAATTAATTTAGTATTTTTGCCTGGTCTTGTAACATTTCATGACTTTTAAATAAATAAATGCTTTGGTTCTGGTGGTTGATGTCGTCTAGATGCATAAAACAAAATGGATTGTCCCTACGATGATTTGGATTTTGAAACTTCTAATAACGCAAGTGAAGAAAATTAATTCTGTTAACTTACTGAGGTGAACGAAGTTGATTTATTGAGCGATATTGACTCTGATGTCTTGTTTTCCGAAATGACAGGAATCTAGCAACAATGAAAACGATGTCGTACCCTGCTCAGCTGTGGCCTCTGACACAGAGCAAACGCGACTGCTCCTGATCAATCCCAAACTAAAACCCGATTCACTATCGTATCGGGCAAAAAAATCTAAAATTTTGAGAATTCATAAAACATTAAAAGGTTAGGAAATAAACTTAAATTAAAATAACCCCAACCCCCCACAAAAAAAACTTGCCTACCTGTTTTACCGATTGGTCATCGGAGACGAAAAAATATCCGTAGACGGAATTAGAAATCTAGTATTCCGGTTTCTGAGTTGGCCGACCTTCTCCGTGCATTTTAGGCCGAGAAGCGGCGGCACATGAGGAGTGACGGGGCACAGTAATGAAGCTGGCATCAGGTCATACAGTACGTAGGTCCATCTCAGGTGACAAGAAACACCAGCTAAGCAAAGTATCACAGCACACGCGACAAATCCCAAACTCCAAATATAACACACCCTGACGTTGAAAATTAACACAAAATATACAAGTTTCAGAGCACACGGTTCAATCCCCACCAGTCCATTCCGCATCGTCCGAATTGGTTTGCGATTAACACAAGCAACACATTCATAAATCGGTGATATTCCCAATTTGCTAGTGCCATGAGAGGGTTCACGCGTTGGGGTGTTTTCCATAACTGCTCCATAAACGTCATTATCAAAATCAGTAAGTATAAATTTCATCCTCATGCTCCCGTTCGACTCGAAATGCACCTCTTTACAAACTTATGTGACGTCATATATAAATCCGCGCTTGAACGCCTAGGTTGACCTCGCCTCGGTGCATCAGGTCATGTTTATATTTTTGTTCACCTTCCTGTAACCTATTTTTAAGATTGGATTTATCCCAAATATTGTTTGTAAAATTGTTTTGAGAATGAAATTATGTTGACTTATTTCTAGATTATGTTGTATATATTCAAAGAACTGTTTTTGTTTGCGTAACTGAGTATGAGTATGGGGAAACGCATTTGACCGATCCCGCGAGAGCAAACAAATGCTCGGAGGTTCACGCAGTTTAACCAGCGCTTTTAAATCGTTCACACTTCAATGAACCCATCCAAACTGACGTTCAATTCTTAAATATAACCGACAACATTCAGTAAGGTGTGTAACCTCCACATAGCCTTGGTCAGACAATCCAGTGACTGATATCACGAGTATCGGTCTACGCAATTGGGATACGATGACATGCATGAACCAAGTCACCGAGCCTGGTCATTCGATCGCCTCTTATGCCAAACATGAGATGCTGAAGACGAAATCTAACCAGAATCTTGACGGTGACAGTAAACGACAAACTTTTGCATACTGTTATGTCAAATAATGTCATCTATAATGATGTTCAGGAGCACGGGTGACCTAATCGTCTAAGGCGCCGTAATTCCCTGTGCCAAGTTGCGTCCCTTTGTGCCTGCTTGAAACCTATGGTCATGTGTTCGAATCCCGGTTACCCCCGATAATGTTTGCAGGTTTGTCTGCACCATATTTGTGCTCCAGATTTCACCAAAGTGGCAAACGTCTAAGACCTGCATTACTACTGGTTTTCCTCCCACATTAAGCTGTCACACTGTGATATAACTGGAATATTAATCAAAGCGGCGTTAAGCCCAACTGATCACAACGATGTTAAAGTAAATAGATTTTATAAACTTTTTGCAGGGAAGAACAAAAATAACAGGAGAAACATACATTAACGGAAAAAAAGTAACTGTTTCATATAAAGTTCACAAATTTATTCTAAAAATAGATAATGCATCATTCAATATATATTCATGAAATCATCTCCTCAACATTAAGGTCGTGACTCACAACTTGGATGTTTGCATGTTTGTATGTTTGTTTGGAGCATGATACTCGCACACATCTTTTTTTTAATGTGAACAGCACACAGTGGTTGTTTAGCTTTCAGATGCTCATAACACATTATTTGTTCAACCGTAAATAATGCCAGGGCTTGCGTAAGGTATGCTGCAAACAGGAATGGCCTAAACCGAAATGATAGATGTGTTAATGTTCATTGAAACACAATATCATCTCTTGGAGACGTTATTTACAGTAGGGCACGTGTGACGAAAGTCATCAAGACAACCATATTCGTGTTCTGTGCATCTACGAAATCGATACCAAACTGCCATGTTAACAGCTCGGACAATTCCTGGGTTGAAACCCACGAGCACGGGTATGGTTCTGACAAACCTAGAAACAAGGGACGCAACTCTTCACAGCGAATCGCGGCGCCTTAGACGACTGGGCCACTCGTGCCCCCCTAAGTGATCTTACAAATCTTTAGTAATAATAATTGTGTCATTTGTTGAAACTATATGTTCCTTAACGAGTTACTTATATGGTTCGTATACTTTTTGTAACCGACCATTTGATATTCTTGGAAAATAAATAATTGGTTCGAGTAATACAGGTGAAAAGATAATTATTTAGATAAGGAAATATATAAATTAAATTCTTAGGCTGCTTTTTTCATTAAATATATCCTAGTTTTGTATCATGTTTGTAACAATATTCCGATTCCTCCCACATACCCCACCCCCACCCCCACCCAGTATATTAAATTGAGGGTCACTTCCTACAACCGATCAACGACAAAACTTGATAATGTGTGAATGGTTGGATGGTTCGAAACGACGGGGTCTGGATCACGACAAGTAAAAGCATCTTCGTTGTCACTGTGGAGACCCGGTTAGTCCCAGATGCAGTATTTATAAAATGTGTGAGTGCCCGGATACAGAATGTTCGGTCGTGACCCGGAAGCAGTATTTATACAATGTGTTGGTACACCGGCATTCAGAATATCCAATTGTGATGGGAGTGCTGAATTTATTCAAGACGATGTGTGTGTGACTGCTTGTACTAGTCCGGACTTATGCCGATTTTATAGTGCTAGCCCACGGAAATACCGTGCCACAGTTTGACATGAATACCCCTCTCAGACACAGTATACTGACTCCAAGCCGACCAGTCCTTGTTTCAGCTCCTAAATGCCGAGCGCCAGGCAGGGAAACAAGCAGTACCATCTTTTAACGTCATTTGGTATGACGCGGCCGGGGATCGAACCCCAACCTTCCGCTCTCCTGGCACATGCTCTACCACTGGACCACAGAGGCGGTCCGATGTCAACAGGCCTTCGCTGACTTTTTCTTTTGCACGTGTTTTGCAGTTAACGTCTTCGGCGCGGCACGTATTTACTCCAACAAGAGATATTTTGAGTTGAATATAAATGTAAGGGACAATTTATTGCAATTGTCAAAACAAGACGTTTATTGAGACAGGAGGCGGCAATATTAGGCGGCGGATTTTATTAAAGTGACATTGAATTTACTCCAACGCTTCTTAGGCAAAATATTGAAGTAATTTTTAAAAGAAAAACGTGTCTTGAAATTCTGAATATTGTTGTTTTGATGACTTGACAATAAATCCGGACCAGTAGGCATTTATGCACGTTAAACCGTTTGATTGAAACCATTCCTGCTACTTTTTAAAATTCGCTTAATGTCACAATAGTTCGGTCATGAGGTTGGCCAGATCAGTTAATGCCAAAACAAAGCATTGACCATTAGTATTAAAGATCCCGACACAGTCAAATGATAGATAAATTATTCAATACATAATGGAGGTAAAATATTGTATTTCACATGAAATAATTACCCTGTAATGATCAAAGCCAACCGTTCTCTCTTTGACATCCAGATCACAGAAGCATGGTTCATTAATACCTCAGAAATAAACTGAGAAATTAAAACGATTCTTCTCAGATGATTTTATCATGTTTTGATTTTCAATTGAAAATGTCTTAAGATAATCCAAAATAAACTGTACTGGCGCTTAGTCATTAATCAAGATTACATTCACATGGTTTTAGTTTCAGAAATATAATTTGGCAATACACAACCGCTGATGGGTATCTTAAATATCTTATCTTGAAAATCAATAAATTTGCATTTTTGGCATAATTAACACATTTCAAACATCGTAGCGGTTGAAGATTCATTTTTACACAAATTTATCAAGCCACAGATGACGTTTAATAAACTGTTGCACGATTTCGTTATGGTTAGACAGACATAATCATGCAAACAAACAGGGTATAGTTTCTTTGGCTCGTCAGTTTATGATGTTCTGTTAAGTCTCCCTGCCGAACATGTAGGACCTGTTTAAAACATCTGTGTTACGCAGCTGTGTTCCAGACACCTGGGTGTCCTTCAACCAGAGTATAGTAATAATGAAAACGTGGTACCAAGTGTCACATGTTATCATTATCAGCTAGTTGTAAGCATGGATGAAACAGGGAAAACACAATTTACACTGACAACGAACACTGATTAATTAAACGCGAACAAATATCCAAGCTGATATGCTAAGCAACTGTATAACAGTAATAAAGAGAATGTAGCTAAATCATCACTTTGACAAGATGCATGAACAGCCAATTAAGTCGGCTACGACCATTCAACACTCAAATGAGTGATTTACCTTAGCTGGGTTAAATAGCGGGAAATAAACACAGAGGTCTTATCCCCTAACTACGTCACTTAGACTTAGTCTACTAAATAGACGAGTACGTCTGAATAACAAACTAGTCTTACAGACTAAAGACTCAGTCACTTTGACTGGGAGAGGAAATTCTTAACTTCCAAAAGATACTTGGTACTTGACCTAAGGAGTATCTAGACTCACAATCCTTGAAAAGGGAACTTGACCAAAAGAGTAACTTGACTCCGAGTAGTAAATAGGTACTTGACCTAAACTAGACACTTGCGGGTAAGTTGGTTGTTTATCTATGGATTACTAGAAATATATGATAAACACTAGCTAATATGTTTAAGCTCAATACCACCATATTAGTAAGTCAGTACCAGAGAGAACACTGATCCAGAACCACTTACAAGCGAAACGTAAGTTTCGACCTGACCAAAGAAGTAGCAAGACGACAGGTAAATGGTCTAGGGGTATCTGGAGGTAAAGACACATGATTTTGCCAAGGGTTATATACGTGTGCGCGGACGTCGTAGAGAACAACCTGTCCTGGGTGCCGTTGTACAAAATAACCGTAGCGCTACGGCTGTCGTAAGTCTATGTTAAGGTATGGGAGTTACGATCCCCGTAGGGCTTAGATCGCCTTGTACAACGGCACCTTGGTCAGCCCGTGAATGCAATAGCCTGGTGAGCTAACCAAAGTGTGTTTCCTAACAAAGGGAAACCCCTAATATCAAACTAACTACTAAACCAATACGGAAGATATAAGTACCAACTTAAAGCGCTGAACATAAGCTATCCAACGGTACCACTACAGATTTACAACCAGATATGTACAAGTATTAAGGAGGCAAAAATGACTATAAATACATGAGAACTATTTATAAGCACAAGAATAATTGCGCTACTGTGTGAAAATAAATGTTACCGAAACATTTAGTTGCAAAAAAAAAATAAGATAGCAAACATATATGAGACAAAATATATCAAATCAATATATGATACAAATATGCAAATAAACCGCTAGAGATAAAATGTACGGGTTACAAATTTTCTAACAATCTATGTGAAGACACTAGACAACGACAACCTCCAGACTTTACTGAATGGTGACGGAAACCAGACAATTAACGGAGAGTTAAACGGTGCGGTGACAAGGCTGTTTTTTTCCATCCGGTAACAATCTGTGGCTCTAATAACATATTACTAGTTTACAATAGTGTCTTCACTAGGAACTGGTTGTTTTTTTCCCTTACTTTATAAAAATTTAAAGACGAGAAACAAATTCAACGTGTGTGAAATACTTACTTCCAACAGACACCAAGACAAGAAGTCTCCCCAAAACGTGAGCCCACTCCATGGCTGCAGGTGACCTGTCTCTTAAACAGCAGATTTGAAATGTTCTGCAGCTAACATGGATCAACAGGAGGTGTGTGGGACCGACATATAACCCGTTTTGTAATTCTAGGATTTCCCAGCCACCCAAAAATACTCTGGCCTAAATAAATGTTTAAATGTAAAATATTTAATTATCTTTTTCATTACACTGAGGTATTTTGTGTCATGGATGGTAAACACAAATAATTTGTCAAATAAACAGCTGACACGTAGATTTCTGATACACTTTTCGTATGCTACATTTCCTACATAAGTTGTAATTTCTTAAACAGACTATACATGTAAGTTAAAATTTGAAATTGTCAGTTTAATGGAAGGTAGAATCAATCTGTCATTTATCATTGTCTGTCTCGCGCATGCTATGGCTGATGGAATAGAAGGAAGGAGTCAACTTTGTATGCTTGTTTAGATTGGCGTGCACTTCACATGCATGGTTTCTGTTACATGACACGCGATCTGCATTCAGACAATGACTGTCTGGAAATAAACGTCAAGCCAATGTCAACCTTACACCGCATGACAGGTTTGGCGGTGGATCGTTTATGGTGTAGGTGACATCACTATGACTGAGCGGACTCTAATCCATATTAAAAAGGGTCACTGGACGGCACTATCGGGACAACATACTGTCTACGGACATCCTTTGTTGTCCCATTTGCATGGCGTGTGGGTCGATGTTTTGTCTTTCAGGACGACAACGCCCGTGCTCACCATGCACATATCGTCAATGCTCACCTCCAGCAGCTGAACATCCACAGAATGCCATGGCCAGCAATGAGTCCAGGCCTTTCGCACATTGAACACGTATAGAGGACTCCCTAAAAAGGGCCATTGGGATACTTATACGCAGTATGCCTCGTCAAATGAAGGAATGTTTGACAAATCGTGGCGGTAACACGCACTACTGATGAAAAACGTCAACTTTAATATTCCCCACCTTACCCCTATCGTCCTTCAAGATCGTTGGCGGTCATAACATGGACTGTCATTCTTCACAACCGGTTGTAATGTATTCCGGTTCATTATTATCATGCAACTATTACTAGAATATAATATATCGCTTACACTTTTTAATTGAATTTTTAAGTTATTTCCGAGTATCACCTTTCTAATCATAGTAAGCATAGGAAAAAGTAATGAACCAACAGTTAATGTGAATTCGTAAGGTGAATTTAAATTTGAAGCATTGAACGAACATGACATGAAAAGATCATTAACTTCACTGTGGGGTGACATGCTTGCTTAGAGAATATGCTCCTATCAATTATATCTGAAATGTTAGTTATCGTTTTTCCATATCAATGAAAATGAACACGTACTATAAAAAGAAACAACGGTAATATACTGAACAACAAAAGTTCCTGTGACATTGAATAAGATTTAATGTTTTTTACCAAATCTGAAACAATTTCGGTTTGCAACAGATCAAAGACTCCTGTAAGTGTTCAAATGGTTTAATTTGCCATACTGACTTCAGAATATGCGTGATTTCATACATAAAACATGAACATGCCAAAATGTCAATTTACAAATCAATAGCGTGTGTGTCCACCTCTGTTTGCAATACAAGCAGCACATCTTCGTCTCATGGTATGGACCAGGCGTCGCACAAAGTCCTGTGTGATATCTGTCCATATCTGCTTGAGCATGTTACCACGTTCCTGCAGTGTCTGTGGAACACGTGGTTGACGTCGATTCCGACTATATCATAAGCATGAGTTTATGAGTCACTATCGATTAGTGGTGATACCAGGTGTTCGCGAAAAGGAATACTGTTGAAGGCATCCGTACATCTTTAAGACTGGATATATAATTAAAGATGAAAACATAATCAGAACACTGTCTGATCTTGTATTTTTAAAAGACAACTATGTAAAACAGAATTCGTAAATTATAGTCATTGTATAGACCTTAGTTGAGTGCTCGACCCGCCATAGATACCAGGTGTTCGCGAAAAGGTGAGCGTATGCTGCCTCACCTGTAGCACCCTCCACAGACACTTGCAGAAGCAAGTCCACTGTTCACCTGAAAAACAAACAAACACTTGCAGAAGCAAGTCCACTGTTCACCTGAAAAACAAACAAACACTTGCAGAAGCAAGTCCACTGTTCACCTGAAAAACAAACAAACACTTGCAGAAGCAAGTCCACTGTTCACCTGAAAAACAAACACTTGCAGAAGCAAGTCCACTGTTCACCTGAAAAACAAACAAACACTTGCAGAAGCAAGTCCACTGTTCACCTGAAAAACAAACAAACACTTGCAGAAGCAAGTCCACTGTTCACCTGAAAAACAAACAAACACTTGCAGAAGCAAGTCCACTGTTCACCTGAAAAACAAACAAACACTTGCAGAAGCAAGTCCACTGTTCACCTGAAAAACAAACAAACACTTGCAGAAGCAAGTCCACTGTTCACCTGAAAAACAAACAAACACTTGCAGAAGCAAGTCCACTGTTCACATGAAAAACAAACAAACACTTGCAGAAGCAAGTCCACTGTTCACCTGAAAAAACAAACAAACACTTGCAGAAGCAAGTCCACTGTTCACCTGAAAAAACAAACAAACACTTGCAGAAGCAAATCCACTGTTCACCTGAAAAGCAAACAAACACTTGCAGAAGCAAGTCCACTGTTCACCTGAAATACGAACAAACACTTGCAGAAGCAAGTCCACTGTTCACCTGAAAAACAAACAAACACTTGCAGAAGCAAGTCCACTGTTCACCTGAAAAACAAACAAACACTTGCAGAAGCAAGTCCACTGTTCACCTGAAATACGAACAAACACTTGCAGAAGCAAGTCCACTGTTCACCTGAAAAACAAACAAACACTTGCAGAAGCAAATCCACTGTTCACCTGAAAAACAAACAAACACTTGCAGAAGCAAGTCCACTGTTCACCTGAAATACGAACAAACACTTGCAGAAGCAAGTCCACTGTTCACCTGAAAAACAAACAAACACTTGCAGAAGCAAGTTCACTGTTCACCTGAAAAACAAACAAACACTTGCAGAAGCAAGTCCACTGTTCACATGAAAAACAAACAAACACTTGCAGAAGCAAGTCCACTGTTCACCTGAAAAAACAAACAAACACTTGCAGAAGCAAGTCCACTGTTCACCTGAAAAAACAAACAAACACTTGCAGAGGCAAGTCCACTGTTCACCTGAAATACGAACAAACACTTGCAGAAGCAAGTCCACTGTTCACCTGAAAAACAAACAAACACTTGCAGAAGCAAATCCACTGTTCACCTGAAAAGCAAACAAACACTTGCAGAAGCAAGTCCACTGTTCACCTGAAATACGAACAAACACTTGCAGAAGCAAGTCCACTGTTCACCTGAAAAACAAACAAACACTTGCAGAAGCAAGTCCACTGTTCACCTGAAAAACAAACAAACACTTGCAGAAGCAAGTCCACTGTTCACCTGAAATACGAACAAACACTTGCAGAAGCAAGTCCACTGTTCACATGAAAAACAAACAAACACTTGCAGAAGCAAATCCACTGTTCACCTGAAAAACAAACAAACACTTGCAGAAGCAAGTCCACTGTTCACCTGAAATACGAACAAACACTTGCAGAAGCAAGTCCACTGTTCACCTGAAAAACAAACAAACACTTGCAGAAGCAAGTTCACTGTTCACCTGAAAAACAAACAAACACTTGCAGAAGCAAGTCCACTGTGTCCACTCACTCTGACAGTGTGTGTTCGATGTTCGAATGTGACTCAACCCCCCAATTAAAGTACTGGAATCTGTACTTTACTGAGAAAGTGTTGTCCGAAATATAACATGGTTATATATGACAACTGTCTAAATGGCTTTGCGTGTTCATAATAAGAAACATTTCTTAAGGTCTTTTGGTGGCCGGGGACGAATCAGGGACCTTCCGCTATATCACGGATGCGGTCTGTATGTACGTATATTTCGCAGAATGATAGTTCCATATGGAAGTGCAGCCGCTATGGTGGGCTTGAGGAAGGAATAGTCCTCACCGATACGACACCGCTATTGGAACCATGACTGGCATGGCTAAGGTTGGTTGGTTGGTTTGTTGTTTAACGCCGAACTCAGCAATATTCCAGCTATATGACGGCGGTCTGTAAATAATCGAGTCTGGACCAGACAATCCAGTGGTTAATATCATGAGCTTCGATCCACGCAATTCATGCCTGACCACCCGATCCCGTTAGTCGCCTCATACGACAAGCACAGTTGCCTTTTACGACAAGCATGGGTTGTTGAAGACCTATTCTACCCAGGATCTTCACGGGTCCATTGCTAAGGAACGCCACTCTGGAAAGTAGTGCTTTAGCCGTATGGATCACTTATACCCCTATCCAAATTCAAGTTTCGTATATGTTATATGTTAACCACGGGGTTGGGTACAGAGCAACATACGATCAGTTTATAACGAACTGTTTTTCACGCCATGTATTATAACACGCATGGTCTATTTTCTGTTGTCACATGAAAACATCTGCATAGTAATATGCAATGGAGATTTATGCAGACATATGTGACTGAAATGTCGCAATCAGACACTGTCAATCAGGTTGAATGACTTGTTTGCTGAAAGAGAATCACAAGCAGTCAATTGATCATACTTTATGTCAGAGTTTTCTGTCTCCTTCCTTGTTTCTGTTCGTGAAAGGTGATAAAAGACATGATACCACCGCAAAAACTAAAACATAGTTTTTCCCTAAATGATCATTGGACGCTTTTAGACGCTTTTCAAACGACTAAACAGCGCCGACATTTTAAAACCACGCCTACTTGCAAGCTTGATAATGTCAGTCACGATATTGCCCTACCGCACCGGCGCACATCCTCAACCAATGGTTAGTCACTCTGTCAGGTTTCCACATTCCAAATTGATCAAAACGCTATTGCCGAAAGTAAATGACCCTACTGCAGCAGTACATGTATGTGTTATTTGCTTCATAACAATTCATAAATCTGCTATTCAATTAAACGTAGATGAAAAGTTTAAAAAGTATATTTGATAGATGAAAGATTATGTCAACGTTTTGTAAAAATTGCCACGTTTTGTAAAAA